CACGGTAAAAAACCTAATTGTTAAGAAACCAAAACTAAAGCCTCGGGACAGAGATTTGGACAAAACATAAAGAAAACCGGACAAGACCCGGACTACAAGGATTTAGGATTGGCACGTGGAATGTAAGAACTTTATATAAAGTAGGAGCACTTTGTACTTTTGCTTGAAACCGTTACTAAATTAAACGGTTAGGGTAACGCGGTAACAGAAAAATGTAGGTTACTGGTAACCGATTGAATTCCGGTTTTCAAAAAAAAAAATTGTACTAAATCTTTGTACCCGTGCCTTATCAGATACAGACAACGATTTATAGTTGTCTTTACGTCGTTTATTGAGAGTTAAGTCATGTGCCTTTTATCGTATTCTGATTGATATTATAGTTCATAGGTAATGGTAGTCGGTACAAAGACGGTACTCAGTATTTATAAATAATGGTTAACTTTTCTTAACCGGTTAAAACATATTCCGTTATTATAACGTTTTATTTTAGCAGAAAAAATTTCACGGTAACCAGTAACAGAAAACCAGGAATACAATTAGGTTTATAATAATGGTAACTGATTATAGGTTAAAATTAGATATATAATACATAGGTATACGGTAAATATAGTAGCGTTACAGGAAACAAGATGCAAGGTGAAGGACGTACTGGGAACAAGTCATCATTCTAAGGCGGTATAACGACTTATAAGCATGAAAACGATGTATATTTTCTCATTCACAATAGACTAATACCATGTATTAAACAATTTAAGGCTATAAATAACCGAATATATTACATCTGGATCAATATGAATCATCGGGACATGGATATGATCTGCGCATAGGTACGCATCAAATGAATCAGGAAATGAAGAATCAAACGACGTATTTTATGAAGAGTTAAAACAAACATATGACGCCCTCCCTACCAGACCATTGAAATAAATTATTATTGGGAGATATGTGAATGTCAAAGTGGGAAAAGAAAATACTTATTAAGTAACGATTGTTGAACATACCTTACACGAACGAAGCAATAAGGGATTAAGACTAATTAACTTAGTAAAATATGGTAATAAGTAGTAAGAGATTCCCGAGACAAAAACATTCATAAAGAAACTTTGCTATCATCAGGAGGGAGATTTAGTAGTCAAATTGGTCATGTTCTCATAGAAAACAACATAAGACTATACTAAAAAACGTAAAATGTTTCAGAGGAGCAGACGTAGAAACAGACCATTACTTAATCCCATGACCTATAAACTAATGGACAGCGCATTCCAGTCCACCTTGCCCTCAATACACGGGAACCATATAAGAGAAAGAAAGAAGAAAGAACATAAAGTAGTAATCATAAACCTATAAACTACCACTGTATTTCTTGGAAAAAGAGACATAAATTACGAAAAACAGGTTGAAAAAGCATGAAAAGTATAAAGACCTCAATAACGGGATCCACAGAAAAAGTCATTAATTTCAAAAGAAGGAAATGGTTCAATGATAATGTGAAGGAAGTAATCAGAGAATCATAAGCTGATTGACCGTTTTCGCTCAGAATCGTTTTTCTTATACAATGATATTATATCATTGAATTCAAATTTAACATCATCCATTACAGTGACCCACTTGCCCACCTTTTTTCATTTAACATTTACATTTATTAACGACTTATTTATTTTACGACTTTTTGATATTTTTAATTAAATTTTTTACACAGACGATCGCATCATCGAATAATAAATATTATGGCAAAATTCGTGTTGTTTTCATTTATCGATAATTTCGAACATACCACCTTTCGTACACAAAATCTTTCGTACAAGTTAAGTTCGAACATACGGCAATCGAACACATGATAAACTACCGATTATCTGATGCCCTGATATTTTTTAATATTTGCTTAATTAAAAAAAACTCAAGCTTTGCTAATACAGAACTTTAAGTAGGTATTAAATATATTATCAAAATAAATGTAAGATTTTTATTTTATACACTTTTAAAAAACTAAAAAATCTATTTAAGATATACTAAGAGACATCCAGTCAGTGTATAAAATATGATATAAATATAGTTATTATAATAATATTACCTATATATAATACAATTTTTATTTTATTTATTTTTATTTATTCTTAAAGAAGATAATGGACCCCACTGAACATGTTCGTGTGGGTACCCAAAAAAGAAATAATAAAACAATAATTTGTTGAATATATATATGTATAAAACTGCAAATTATTTAAATTATTTTGTAAACTAAATATACTTTTAATCCAAAATTAATTATTTTACCTTTTCAAAACAATTGATCGTATTTGGTATACACCATGTTGAACAATTAAATTCTCCTTTGCACACCTAAAACATTTAAAGTAATGAAATAATCAAATGCATTTTCTTAAAAATATTATTCTAATCTACGATACCTACTTGTGAATATGAAGTATAAGTTGTAGATGTAGGGTCAACTGGGTAGATTTCAATATCATAGGCTATTTTTGTAGGACATATTTTCGATTCCTTTAGAAATGACGCTACTTCTTCCTACAATTATTGTGAACATGTTATAATATTTTTTGAGTGACATGATTATTATATTTTCTTGGTTTTTTAGGCAGAAATTGGGATGGTGCTTGGGGAGTCCCAGAAAATATCCCATAAACCCTCCCTCCCACAAAAATGTACAGTTTTTTAGTTGTGTGTGGTCGAAGCATCCCTGTAGACAATTATGTTAAAATGTTAGCCTCCCTTGAAATTGTAATGGATTTCATTTAATTATCACCAAAGGCAGAACAAAAGAAAAACAAATTATTCACAAGTCCAAATCGGTTTTCTGTTCTCGCTAAGTGCGACGTGAACACATCAACAAACAACAACCAAATTTGCAATAGCGATGACTCAACAAAGTTACCGCCTGCTTACATAAAAAATATCTCCATGTTCATCCCTAGCCAAACTTGACTTAACAGATTTCATTTGTAAATCCACGCCCTCTTATCTTACCTATCGTCGCAAGCATTTCCGCGAACAGTACAATCTGTTATTAACTCATTCAGAGGAGAATGACGTAAGTCTTAATACTTACCAGCCTAACTCGCCCACTACATAGAGTTATTCAAAATCTCCACCCAACCACTTCACATGAAGACATCATTGCCTGCATTTCAAAGTTGGGACACCACTTCACCAACATATACAGCATAAAGTGCTTTTTGGATAAAACACCATTGCTATTTTTTACATCGAAAAAGCTACCAATAACTCAGACATATGCAATTTTGAGGTGCTTCTCAATTCAAAAACTGTCGTTGAAAAACCACGCCAATCCACCACAGTGCTATGTCTGTTTGTCAGTCTTACGAGCACACTCGGAGATACCGTCAGCATGATCCACGATGTGTAAGATGTGGGGACAACCTCTCAGATTCCTGTCACGCGATTCTCCAGTCAGATATGCTCTATCAGCTATCCAATGGTAGCCACACCACCAATTACAAAAGTTGCCCCAACTATAAAAAGCTTGAAGTTTTAATCCTTCAAATAGGCGAGATCTTTCAATAATTAATCATTAATCAATTAATTATTCATCCAAAAATAATTCTCATAAAGCCTCTTTAGTGCCACCTCCTCCCTTCTTAAGCTCATAATGGTCAAAATCATTCTCAATTTCGAAACGCTATTAACCTTTTTTATCTACCAATTCTCAAACAATATGAAACCCCTGCTTTCCCTTATTAGTTTATTACTAAGCAAATCCAAATTATAAATATCTCTACTCGTTATGTTTACGCTAATTCAAATTTTAGATTCTGAGCGGAGCGATGAATGTATTGATTTTGCAATGATGTGTGTTTTTTATTCATTTATTAATTTTGAAATTGATGTGTCTGTCGCCACCGACAAATAAATCTTTTCTTCAACAGAATCTTGTTTAATGGAAAAATGTATCTAGTTGGTGCATTCGGGAAGCCAAAATTTTATTTCCCAAAAGTTTTCTAAAGCGCCGAGTTAAACAACATAAAAATTAAAGAAAAACGTTAATTTTTACTCAAAATCGATTTTTGACAAAATCAATTTTGGTTGTTTTTGTACCTCTAAAAAAATGAACGTATATACATGAAATATTCACCGGTTGTTTATATTTGTACTTTCTATACATGATAAAATTTTCAAAATATTTTGATTTGTTTTAAACTATATACAGACATTTTTAGTTTTCAATTTATTTAGTTTTTTTTTATAAATAACAATAAAAAACTTTTGTCGGATAAAAAAGGGTGAAATTTTATACAAGGCAGCTGATATATTGTTACAATAGCAGTTAAAAAATATTAAAAATACATACCCACAATTTTTTTTTAAACATTTTAAGTACGAATTCTTACAACATTTATCAAATTTAAAATTTAAAAATGATTTTGTAGTTAAAAATGTATAAGATGTTTAACATTTATAGCGAAGGATTGAACAATTACAACAAGGTTCCACGTAAGTACCTATGGCAGCGGTTCTCAAACTGTGCTCCGCGGAGCCCTAGGGCTCCGCGAGATTAGTCTAGGGGCTCCGTGGCTCCCTGAGAATATCTGTATTAATTAAATTTAAATTATTAAATTATTATTATATTTCTTAGTTAAATTTTTATTTTTATAATCAATACTATTTGGACCGTACCAATATGTATTATTTTAAACATTTAAACATTTAAAACTTTAAAATAGGTATTTATAAATCCACATATGTCATATTTTGTGTCATTGTCAAAATGAGATTAGATAAAAGTCGGGTTTTTCGTTCATTTGACAAATGGTACGATAATTATTTAGTTTACTTATCTACAATAGCACAATCTACATTCTACGAAGTTCTAATAATTTCTTGATTCTTCAGTCATTACTCGTTATTCATCGGCCGCTGACGCAAATATTGTTATTTCGGTGTTTATTTCGTATTACGTGTTTCCTATTTTACCATCAATTGTTTTTATTGTTGACAATTTTTTTTTGTGAATAAAAATTTAAATGGATCGTTGGCTTAACAAATCAAGAAATACAGTGGGATCATCCTCATCAGATGCAAATGAAAATAAATGTGTCACACCGAATAATAGTGCGAGTTTAAAAAGAGCAAATAGTCCACCTAACAAACAATCTGATACAGGGACATCTGCCACTACAGTAAGTAAAAGAAGAAAATATGACGAAAATTATATCTCTTTTGGTTTCATACATGAAAATAGTTATCCACAGTGCGTTGTATGTAGTAAAGTTTTTCCGAATAGTTCAATGGTGCCAGCCAAATTGCGCCGTCATTTGGAAACTAACCATACAAACGTCAAAGATAAACCTGTTGATTATTTTATTCGATTGCGTGATCAACTTTTAAAGAATAAGAACTTTATAGCTGAAGTAACAAAAACGGAAAATGAAAAAGCAACAGAGGCATCTTATATGGTCAGTTATCGTATAGCTTAGGCTGGTAAAGCTCATACAATTGCCGAAAATCTAATCAAACCTTGCGTGACTGATATTGTTAGTTGTATGTTAGATGAAAAGGCAGTCAAAAAAATAAATACTATTCCGCTTTCCAACGATACCGTTAGGCGTAGAATTAACGATATATCAACTCACATAAAATCGGAATTAATATCTTGTCTTAAATGTAATAATTTTGCTTTACAAATGGACGAATCCACTGACGTTTCTGGATTAGCTGTATTGCTTGTATTCGTTAGGTATAAATATCAAACTTCTCTTGAAGAAGACCTCTTATTATGTCAACCTTTGTCCACTTATACAACTGGTTATGAAATCTTCAATATGTTGAACAATTTTTTTGAAATAGAAGGATTGACTTGGGATAATTGTATTGATATTTGTACAGATGGAGCGAAGGCAATGGTTGGAAAAACTGCTGGCGTGGTTTCGCGAATTAAAGAAGTAACCAACAATTGTAGTAATAGTCATTGCATTCTTCATCGTCAAGCACTTGCTATTAAAAAGATGCCAATACCTCTTAAAAATGTACTTGATGAGGCAGTGAAGATTATAAATTTCGTAAAATCTCGACCATTGAGCACAAGACTGTTCACAATTTTGTGTGAAGATATGGGAAGTATGCACAAATCACTACTTTACCATACCGAAATAAGATGGCTTTCTCGGGGAAAAACACTTGTACGCTTACTCGAATTGCGCAATGAATTGTACGTTTTTTTCACCGATCACCCATTTAATTTACAGCTCAGACTTAGTGATAAAATTTGGTTATTTCGACTTAGTTACTTGGCTGATATTTTTACAAAATTGAATGAAGTGAACTTATCAATACAAGGTAAAATGACTACCGTTTTCACGGCAAATGACAAAATTCGAGCTTTAAAAAAAAAAATTAAATTTTGGGCTGTGTGTTTTTCTCAACATAAAATTGATAGTTTTCCTTTGTTAAAGGAATATTTAGAATCGATTGATGGTAATATTGAAGATTTTGATGAAATATATGGCGAAATTGAACAACATTTAAATGAAATACTATCGTCATTAGAAAAATATTTTCCAGAAAGTAAAGACATAGAATTTATCCAACGATATAATTGGGTTAAAAATCCGTTTTTAATCAACGATAAGCCCGAAGATTTATCTATAACGGAGTATGAAGAATTTATTGAAATGACCACCGATTCATCTTTAAAAACTTTATTTGATAAAATATCATTAACAGATTTTTGGTGCAGTAGCAGTATTACTAACGAATATCAATCTCTGGCTAAAAAAGCTATCTTAGCACTTCTTCCTTTCGCAACAACATATCTATGTGAAACCGGATTTTCATCATATGCATCAATGAAAACCAAATATCGTAATAAATTGGATGCTGAAGCAGATATGCGTATTCAACTCTCGCCTATCAAGCCAAATATAAAAATACTGGTCAATAAAAAAAGCCAACATCACGGATCACATTAATAAATAAATAAATTGCTAAAATTTTATGTTATTTTTTTCTAATTAAATTAATATTAATTGAATAATTTGTATATATTCGTATTTTACAGAAAATAAAAATAAAAAGCAAATCATTTACAATTGGCATCATTTTTTTTATGAATTTTAGTTGTCTCATATAGACATTTCTGATTTTTGGGGCTCCGTAATTTTTTTTAGGAATATAAGGGCTCCGCGAACAAAAAAGTTTGAGAACCGCTGACCGATGGTATTCTGTAACCAAAAAAATTCAAACATAGTAAAAAAAACACCGTTTTTTTTTTCATAATTATTTTATGTTCAAATTTTGGGAAAATCACATATTAAATAACCATATCGATTGTAGTTATTTTGTTGTAATTTTATAATATTAATTCAACTTAAAGGCTACCTTATTAATAATAAGTAATAACTAAAGACCAGATTTTGCATAAAATGCATGTTGCTATTTTCAACATCAAAACGTTTTAAATAAAAATAAAGGGTTAATGGTTTTAAAAGAAATTTCGAAAATACTTCAAGGTGACAGTGCTAATTTCAGCAATTTATCTGTTCCAAATTATACGCATGATATACCAGCCAATTTTAAATATTTACCAATTACCAGTGTTGATTTGAACGCAGTTTTTTATCCTACAATTACATTCTTTCAAGTTACAGATCGCCTTCATAATTTCACAGAAATAAACATGGAACATACTTTGATAACTTATTGTTCTTCCAATAATTAACATACTACATTAAATTGTTCGTACTTTTTTCCATTTATATTACCAATGTATCTACTACTTAATTTTAATAAAAAATTTTACAATATAATATCAATGATTAAAAATTAAATTACAATTCAACAAAATACTAAATTTTTGTATTGCATATCTGTTATATTAATATTATTATAATACATCTTAATTTTTGTTTATGAAAAGTTTAAAGAAATTATAAATAATTATCACTGCAAAATTAATATGAAATTGAATAAAAATTGAAATTCTATTTTGCATGTTTTGTATTTTTTCTTGCATATTTTGAATTTTTTTAGTGCATGTTTGCATGCGTATCTTACAATTTAAAATTCATATTATAAATTCGGTTTTTAGTGATAACAATATAAATATAATACAAAATATAATACAAAGTATAAAATATCCACATTAACAAACCGTCACCGCTCAGAATCGTTTTTTATATCCAATGATATTATACCTACCGGCTACCATTGAATTCAAATTTAATACCAACCATTTTACAGTGACCCACTTGTAACCTATTGTGCAGCAGAGTGACATCCACTTCCCCACCTTTTTTTAACAATTATCTGGTACAACTATTCATATTCTGTGTTCTCTTATCTTTTGTATATTCATATTCCAATTATTATTCTTCAATTTTTGTTGATGATGCAACTTACTGTTGTAGTTTTGTCTTGATATAAAGTTTATCTTTAAGGAACTATATTTCCGTTGTATTTAAGTATCATTTATGTGTGGAAATGAACAACAGTACACATTTAAAATAAAATTACAATGTCAATTGATTCTTCGCTATTTTTCCAATACGAATCTAAGTCTAACTCTATTATTCCAAAAATAGCAACAACAAACATGTCTTACACATAAGCATCTTGATCCCTATGAGGAAAGTTCAATATTAACAAAATACATTAAATATTGTTACCATCCCATATAAGTATTTGGCACCATGCTCGACTTTTGTAATTGGAGTCACTCCATTATACAAACTAGGCTTGCATCGATTCAATAAATATGTTGTTATTTCATAGAAGGTTACGAAATCGTTCATTGCTTCAAAATTAAACACTTAAAAAAAGATTAAAATGTAAGTTATAATATACTTGATAACTTGATACATAAATTCATTTTATAATTATTTTAGGTTATAATTGGAATAACTTTAATACTACGATATTATGACTAATTCATTACCTATATATAACAACTATAGTGATCTGAAATAATGTAGGTAAAATAAATTGATAATTTTTGAAATTATATCGGTATCTTCATTATTGACACGTCACTTAAAATAGCAAAAAATACCTTGGTATATGAAGGGAGTATTATTGTATCTTAATGATTTTAATCGGTATAATGATAGAGTATTACCAACAATAAGTATATATACGAAATGTTTGTCCACTTCTCCGCTCATCAAAACTTTGAATATTTATAACTCATAACTACTCACTCCAAATTCGATTTTCATGTATAGAACTACTAAGAAAAATATTCTGCTTTGGAATATAAAATTAAAACCGTATGTCGTCATTCAAAAAAGTAAATACTTAAAAAACTATAAGAATAAAAAATATTTAAAAATATACTTTGAAGGGTTACGGGGAAAAACGATCAAAGTCAAAAAAAAGAAAATAATTATAGTACCTTTTGGTTAGTTTCATAACGAATCGACACATGAATCGAGTTATGGAAAAAAGATCACGGTCAATGATATAATACAGGTTTAAATATTACCGTAACGGGAAAAAAAGGCCAGAGTCCCACTTTAAAACTGCAATACTGAATATTTAAGGAATATTGACTATTATCGTTTTAAAATAATGCTTTTTGAAATAATGAGTGTTGTTTGATAAAAGAATCACCCGGTGTATATTATATTCCAAAATAATTAGGAAATATATTAATTGATGAAAAAAGAAAGAGAGAATCTACCAAATACCTACTTTGTAATATTCACATTATAGACAAATTATTAATGAAATGCAACGATCAATATTAAGATCAAAAAAATTTTATAAACCTAAACATTAAATTAATATATATCATATCACGTACTACATGGGTTCTTTATAGATGATCCATGTGCATCTACAGCAACACCGATTATAATGCCAGGACAACATTCTGATAATTGTTTTATATATGGTATTATATATTGTGCAACTTTGTCATTGAATGGTCTGTATAGCTAAATACACAAAAACAAGTAAGAATTAATTATATAAATAACAGTATAAAATTGCAAGTAATTTTTAAAAAATCGGGGAAAAAACAACAGTGGAAAATTAGTAATTACCTATATACAATACCAGTCAAAAAATATTAATGGTATAGTCTTATAGGTTGATATGATTATTCCACTTTTATTTCTATTATCATTTAAGAAATATGTACCTACACAGTAATATTTTCTAAATACCAAGACAGATTTTTAGCTATTTATAACTTCATAAGCATCTGAAATCCAGAATTTTGGATTCCTAGTAGACCGGTGAATATATTGATTTTACAATGATGTGTTTTATTTTGTTTTGTGTGTCTGCGTACACGTTTTATTATAGTACAAAAATTAAAAGTAGGCTTCAATCTTCCACTTCGAGTTCTGGTAGCAATTCAGATTTATTTGGTATTTTTGATAGGTGAAAGTGAACAATCAGGAAACAATTAGGGAAAATGTTTTTACAAAATCGGTTTTTGTTGTAATTCAAAAATAAATAAATATAGTGACAGTAAATTGTCAACAAATATTCTTATTACTGGGTAGGATATAATTTTCAAAACATTTTTGTGATATTTATATTTATATGTTTTGTTCATTTATTGAAAATATTTTATATAAATATGGTATTATTTATTATTATATTACAGAATTTGAATTTAACACATCTACATTTTACAGTGACCTACTCAATGCGAGGTACACTGTAAACCTGCTATATAACAAAGCGTCTTTTTGTTTTCTTTTTTTTTAATTAAAAATAATACTCATTATATTAATTTTTAACAGGTTTATCGTAGGTAGTTTTATTTTATAAATCACCATAACAAAATATAATTACTAATGCAGAATTCTTTTAATGATATTAATACTAATTAATAGTCACAAATAGCAACAATAGTTACTCAAATACATACGCATTCTGGCGTAAGCCCTTCTAAAAGGTATCCTGCTATCTTGGTTGCCTTTGCGAAATCACATAAGACTTTTACCTCTTTTGCATTGCCATCAGGACCCAATGTTACACCCCAATCGTTGTATGCATCTTCTCGTGTAATGGTCACAACCACAGGCTTATTTAAGTCTGTCACTGATTTGAGGAACGCTAAAACATATTTATAATATTATCTGCTTTAATAATAAATGCCGTAATTACAAACTATTTAAACTACTTATCAAACAAATTACTTAATTTATTTATTTACATTTTAAATTATGAAAAACATTATTGATCTATATTAATTATTCTATCTGCAGTAATACTTTTTGATATCAAAAAAAATAAAAAATAAATATTACTGACAAAACAACCAAACTTCTAATAGTTGATAACTATTTTTCTTTTAAATATTACATGATAAGTTCATAATCATTTGGATCCTCCATGTCCATTGAAGGTATTCATCTAATCGTTATAATCTCATTGTCTTCGGAAAATAATAACCATTATGAAGTCATATAATGTCATTTGAAGTAACACAAACGTGAAGGTATATGCATAGGAGTGCGCACGGGGTGGGCCAGGTGGGCTGTGGCCCTCCCTGAGAGCTGTAACATACTTATTATATAGATGGCAACTTAGATTATATACATAGTTGTATTGCCTTATTATTTGGTATAAGCATTCTGATTTTAGATGTATTTGTACCAACAAAATTAATAAGATTCTCTTAAATCTATAAAATATGCAAACAAAAAATGGTTCTATTTAATCGAGGGTAAGGTAAATTGTGGGCATATATCACAACCTATCAATTTGGACTTAAGGAAAATAATATGCAAATGCATATAAATCCTTGCCCTACTTATGAATAAAAATATATATATTAATATACCTTAAAATGTAAACAGTATAGGTGATGATCGGTGAGTAAATTAATGTAATTTTATAGACAACAGTGTTAAAATAATTTCATGGCTCACTCTGTCGCAACGGGCTGCGCACGCCTATGGGTATATGTTACGTTTGTAGGACACTTCTATTATGATAACTAACCCTTATATTCTTCATAATATAACATCTTTTGTAACAAATTATCTGATGATTACTGATGGCTATCTTGCCACATTTCCAGAACAACATATTATGTACCTAGTTATATTATCTATCACATATTATTATAAATATCTTATCACATAATATACAGACATTACCCACTCCTTTAAAATCATTCAAGGTCATAGAATGATGTTACAAAAAGGCAGTTAATCAAGCAATACCACGAGATTATCATTGCCTAATAATTATATAATTCCAAACGAAGGTTTAAATATAATATAGGTACATACAGGTACATAATATGTAAAAAAAAATAATTTACTTTTATCAACATCTATTACAGACAATTTGTTGATTGAAAATCGACTGTAAATAATTATTTCACATTCACACGGTATTTCTTTGGGATCTAGACTAATTAATTCTGTACTAGAGTCCATCATGTTTCCTTGGAAATAGCACATGATTGATGTAGAAGAAATTGAGTTTCCTGTAGCAGCTGAAATCATAAAACATTGGTTATCTTTCAATTTAAAATAACAAATTTATGATTTCAACATAATTGTGTAGAACATGGGTATTTGTAATTTACATACAATTGTCATAGCATTAAATTTTATTTTAAATGAGTTAGTTTTGATATAATAACATGTAATTATAATTACATTGATCAAAAGTACGATAAGGACGTATGAAAATAACACGTTAGGTATTTCATCGATTTTTTTATGTAGTCTGTCATATTGTATAGTTAGTTGTTATATTTTGTTATAGTGATATTTGATGTCAATACTCAATACTAAACCAAATCTTCATACCATATATTGTTCTCAAAATGAATCTCAAAAAATTCAAATATGCATTTTATATATCAATAGATTCTTATTTTCGAGACGCGTGAGACCAAGTGATTAGTTTTGATGTTTGACCGTTAGGTTCGCTGTGCAAATTCAAAATGTCATTATGGCCTATCTAATATCGTTTGTTATTAGTTGTAGTATCATGGCCTATCTAAAATTGTAATTAGTGGTATCATGGCCTATTAGCCTATCTAAAATTTTTATTAGTGGTATCATAGGTGGTATCATGGTCTATCTAAAATTTTTATCAAAAAAAAATTGTTATCATGGCCAATCTAAAAATATCGGAACTGCCACTATTAATAAATAGCCATCAGCAGCCAACAACTCAATGAAATCAGTATTAAGTACTAATATTATTTTTATTATTGTGAATAAGATGAAACGTTTTAAAGTTAATTAATGTCAAAAGGTATACCAATATTCAAAATTCCTAACAAAAAAAACAGTTTTTTGTTCACTTTGAAAAGTTGGGAAAACGGAGATTGGCCATGATATTATGCATTTCCACGTTTTTTACAATTCAACATAGTACATTAGGCACAACTAGTTTTAATAATGTTTAAAGTTAAAATGTTAAGAAAATTGATCAAAATCTTAAATCATGAACATACTAATGTTTTTGGAATTAGTCTTGGAATTTTTTGATAAAAAAATGGCATTGGGGAGAATTATTGCCCGAACACACTTACTTACACAATCTACACAATATTCAATAATGTTATAACTCATCACTATCGACTTTTTTTCTGATATAGTTTATATACATTATACGAAACATATTACAGCCGTTTTTAAAATTATAGGTGCCTACAACAAATATAATGTTAACAATATTTTGTATTAACCATACACATTTACCCAAAATAATGTGAGTGGACTCCAAACAACGTGTATGGTCTGTATCTATAATTTAGATAAATTTGATTTGATTTCGTTGCATATTTAAATATTTCATAACATTTCTCAGATAAAGTTTAGGTACCTAATATACATTTTTTCGCGAAAAATAGTTATCTAGTAAACATAAGATTATCAATAAATTAATAATATTATGCAACGTAACTACACCTTGTTATAACTTATAAAAATAATATTTTCTGGACGTATTTATGAAATGTTCCTTATTTCTTTAAAATTACCGGATGACAACAGAATCTTTAAAACGATTATGATTTATAAATAATTTAAATATTATACCCATGAACACAATTATACTATACATATAAATATATAATGAATATAACAATTAACAAAATAATATATCTATACTAGATAAAAAAAACCATTTTGATGACGTGGCGCTACATTGTTCGTGTGGAACATGGGAGAGCTATAATTTTATTGTTAATAGATCTAACTCTCTAAGCATTCAAAAAAACATACATACCCGAGGTATTGTCTGCAGCCATCGATTCGCCGAGGAGACAAAAAAATAACATACACAAAATCATTGTATTATTGTTGCAAATAAATATATTTAAATGTTTCAATTCAAGACTAGAAAACAACCAACATAATAAAAGGGTGATTTAAAAAAAAACTAAATTCGCACATATTAATTTATACAATCAATTATATTATTTATAGTTTCATAAAATATCAGACATTTTAAATAATCAGCCCGTATATGTAAACATATTATGTCTGGGTTAATTACAAAATAAATATTGGTTGTAATATTTCACTATCAAAATGTGTAGGTATATAAAAATATCGTACTGTCAAAAATGCAGATGTTATTTCAAACAAATAAATGTAATAAATATTAATTTTTTATCAAAACACATTTAGGTTATATTTAAGTATATAAGATTTATAGTGTAATTTGGAGAACTATATTATAACGAAGTGATATTTGTACGAAACAAAATATTTTAAATAAATTTATATGGTTAGTATTTTAATAAATAATAATGCATACACAATTCAAACATACGGTGCATAATTTAATCGGTGCTCTATTTGTTTTATCTCTCTGATTCAAATGCGTTCACACAAAATCATTTTTATTGTTTTTGTGTAGGTAATCTAGAACTAAAATCACCTATTACCTACAAAAGAATAAATAAAAATATTTTTGAGGATTTAAATTTTTTTTTTTTTTGTACATTTGATTTGAAAATTTAAAAAAAATTGTAAGCAGACATTTCATTTTTAGAAAAAATACTTAGTCAAAATCATAATACCTATGTCAAACCTCAAACACTCCAAAATATCGTTCTCTATTATGGTGGCACGTGAATTGCGTCTGAGAAAGAAGACTAATATTAAATTGAAACAGGGCCATTTCTAAAATGTTATAATATGGGTTTTATAACATATTAATATATTAATATGACTATTTTATACATTTTATTCGGATATTTTACAGTAAGCAAATTTAATTAAAATGGAATTCCATAGTTATATTTTTTACTTAGTTACCAATACGCAATGCATATAGTATATTTTATATTTATTGCATAGTGTTGAAATTTATTTGATTGGCGATCATCGCGAGCCAAAAATGTAATTTAATTTAATTTAGGAAGTCGTCAACTTACTGCAAGAACTATTCCGTTTCATGATGATAATATGTCTAACTGTGTCCACATAATATATACCATCTTAGTTTAATTGATTGGTGTCGTTAGCGAGATATAGGTACCATAATTTTTGTGATCTACAGTTTGTTGTGCTAAACTCGCTAACTATATGGGTCCACACACTTTGTACATACATATATCTCTGCTTATAAATACACATGCCACTAACAAAAACCTAGACAATATAGTTAGTTTCTGTTTTTTTTTGTTTTTTCTATATGGTTAAACTAGAACTAAAAATATTATTTTTCCTTTGTATACCCTTTGTACATCCTAGTACCTACCAAATAACCTGTACAGGGTCTTGTGAGTTGTATTTGCTCGCATATCTACTAACCAGCCAAATGAAGAAATTTTTTTCGGTTATTCTTAAACAGTTTTCAATCTTTAAGAAGTATAATAAAGAAGTGTTATTTTACACTTTAGTTTTGTAGAACTCTAGCCTCTGTAACTATTCAATCCTATGAAATGGAATCCATGAATTAAGGTGTATTAATGCAGGAGGTGTGGGTCGCAAAGCTCCTTACGAGTCACTTTAGTCAACCCAAATTGCGCCTATGGGTATATAATAACTATACACACAATGAGATTTCAAAAAGACAACTTTTTATTGTTAAAAAAAGAAATGCAAAAATCCTTTTTCCCACAACTATAAGCATTGATAATACATAGTATAATATAATAATATTATGCGTATACTCAATGCTATAAGTGAATTTCTAATTCTAGTTCTACTGTAGGGTCATAGGGACCACTCTCCGCAGCGATAGTAATAGCAAGAGTGATCAGAATGCATAATCAAATTAGAATCAACTTCGATTTATCTATAAAACTGTTAATCACATAGTGAACATATTATAGGAATATGAACTTAAACTCATCATATTCAGCCTAGTACATTGAATGTTTGTGGTTTAGGTATAACAAAAAAAAAATTGTATATACCTATATAAGTTAGTGAAGCTTTTCTTGAAACGCAGTTCCACGATCGAAGGCAGAGATCTAAATGTATTTAACAAAATAATAAATTTTCAATGATTTTCTAAATGATAAAAGCATATTTTTGTGATTGATTAATATAGTAATAGTAATAATAGCAGTTGTATTTTATATAACAGCATATTTTTTAAGCATATTTGTATAAATTCTTTGTTCGTATTTTTTTGTTTACTTTAAATAGTATTACTATTTTATTTAACATGATTTTTCATAAATTATTATTGTTATGTATTAATGTTACTATAAAAAATGTATACATTATTTGTACATATTTGTATTTTGTTTGGTTGATCTATATAAATTGTAAAATCTATAATGAAAAAAATGAAGCCTCAAAAACAAAATAAATAATTTATGATAAATAATAATAATAATAAATTAAATTAAATTAATGTAACAATGAAATATGAATGTGAAATGTGAATACATCGACTTACTGTGAGTGTAGTAGCCGGTACAAGTAGGTACCGTGTAAATAATATGCAGACTCCGATTTCAGGGGCAGCAAAAGATTTTTGGGCCGGATTAGGCCCATTCTCCAAAATTCACCGTTAAAACCGTACCATAGTTTTACTCTTTTTACTATAGGGTAACGAAATTAAAATTGTATTGGGTTTTTGTGTTTTGGATAAAATATATTACAGTAATGCGTACTTTTCCACAATGACTATATGGTTAATTGTTAATAATATGTACTATTTTTATAATATAATATAATATAAATGTATATATTTGTGACTTATTGAGTATGATTTTATACTGCTCTTGTTATTATTCATTATTAATTAAGTATACTTTAACGAAGTGTAATGATGTTTTTTTGGCTTGATTTTTTTCGTTATAGATTTTAGTATTTTACCATTTATATATTATCAACCAAACAAAATCAGTATTTGGAAGGAAAGAGTCTCAAAAGGAACGGATTCCTTGAACGAATTCCTTTTTATAAAAAAAGAACCAGAAAATGAACTAGTTATTTTTTACAAGGAAAAATAACAAAATTGTCCGTTCCTTTCTAGTTCCAATAATTTACACAGATAAGTATGTAAATAATTGAAATTAAGATATATTTTTTTAATGTGTATAATCTATATTGCTAATTAGTGATCGTTATCAAGTACCGACGGTTAAGACTATCGACATAATATGCTGGCTCAACAATTTAATTTTAAAGAAAATGTCAAAATTGAATTATAAAATATGTACCTACTTGTATACATTAGAATCAATAATTAAAGAAGTATGCATATGAAAAAAAAACATTAATGATAAATAAGAATTTTTATTTTATTTGTAACTAAAAAAGGAACTCTTTCATTTTCCAAAGGAACGCAAAGGAACGAATTCTTTTTTTTAAGGAACAAGGAACCGAATACGAAAACGAATTCCTTTTTATAAGAAACTTGCCAAACACTGAACAAAAATACAATTAATACGGTTTAATACGTATTGAGTGGTTTGAGACTTAGAGGTCAAATACACCTATAATTATCAATATTGTAGAAGAGAAGTTTAATCTATGCCTGTATAAAAGTCTATTTTCCATGTTTTAATTACTAAACACAATAATTCAAATTCACAAAGTAAAATATCACAAGACTAAATAGAGCTAAATATTGGACGTTGAAAATAAAATATCGAAAATAGACTCCTATACAAGCCTAGATAAACTCCTTCTCTTAAATTTGTATAACAGGTTTTCATACTGTAATGTCATTCAGTAGTCAGTAAGCTATATTATTGGAAAATATGAAACTGAGTTTCAGTGTTTCACTAAAATTCACATAATATTATGTAATTAGTGTGTAAAACCTGACATGTGCGGGTGCGTTCTGCTATTTATTTTATACACAGTCACTCACACTAATGATCACTTACTACGCATACAATTTACACGACCCGCATGCAAACAAATAGAAAATTGCCTATATTGAACTCCTTAAAAGGTAATCATACCATTTTATAAAGCGTTTACATTAATTAATGTTTACCTAATTTATTATAAAAATGTTAGGGCTGAAGGCCCCATTCCTACCTTTAAGTCTTGTTACTTGAGGAACAAAAATGAGAAATAATTCTAATTAATTTCGTTCTGTAGGTTGTAACTTGTAGGTACTAAATAACAAGTATAATAAAATATTTATAAATGGTAAGTCTATAATATATTGAAACGTGAATAATAACTTCTTATTGATATCAGATTTGGAGGTAAATTGCTATTGCTTACAATCCTCTAGGTGAGGACTGGTTACAGAAATTTTAGTCAAGCTATGATAATAGTATTAAATAATAATTGGTCATCAATAGGGCTAGGATTTGTATGCAACAGCATGTTTTTTTTGTGACTTCTAAGTTCTAATTATTGATTTTGTCAGTAATGTCCACGAATCACCTCATGATGAGATAAATGGTGGTGTTTTTATTTCGCATGTTTTTGCATATTTTGGATAAAATGCATATATCGAATAAAATGAACAATATTGCATATTTCGATTATAAAAATGCGAAAAATGCATGTTTTATAGTATATTTTGTAATTAATATATTTTATAATTTAATATTAATATTTCGTATTTAATTCTAGCTCTGCTGATTAAAGTATAAAACTTGGTTTTTTTTGTCAAACACTAATTTTATTTTTATAAATACAATCCTATGGTACAATAGGTATGCGATTAAAGATTAAATAGTTTGACGGAAAAAGATAAACATAATTAATAAAAGTTTGTCGGTCAATATAAAATCTAAGATAAGATAATATAATTTGTCCGGTATTATAGTGTATTACACACAATCCCACGTAGTAGTGTAGTACAGACCGTTCAGCTGTCTGCGCATCACCGTTTATTAGTATTGTAAAAAATTATTGTGATTTTTATTTACAGCCAACCTGTATTTCAATAAATAAATATTGTTTTTGTAACTATATTTTTGTGTTTATCTTATAAAAATTAAAATGCATATTTTTGCATATTTTGGTAAATAAAATGCATATTTTACAATTTTTAATTGCATACAAATCCTAGCCCTGGTCATCAATTATATTAGTCAGCAGAAAAAAAAAATTATTTAATTTCTTACCCAGTTGCATATATCAATTTATAGATTGTATATTGGAATTGGATATTAATATATTATATTACTCTTTAGTCTGCAGCTCACTGCCTATACTACAAATTAATAATAGTATAAAAGGGGAAAAAAAGTCAACCCCATTCAATATTGTTTCACTAACCGTATTTTCCACTCTGAATTGGACTTTCTGTTTATTTGCTTGTTTGTAGAAACTTATTTTACTTAGGTAGGTATACCTTATTTTTTCATATTTTAAATATGATTTTATTTAATGCCTTAAAATTAGGATTTACCGGTTTTTCACTATAAAGTTTGAATTAAAATAAGGTGTTAGGGGAACAGCAGCACCGTCCCTCCTGAACTTCTTCACAATGTTTCAAAACAAAAATTGGTTGAGATGTGTCTAACGGACAACGGTGCTGAAGGACACATTGGGAATAATTTATTATCATCTATATTCTTAATTTGTCTCTGATTATATTATCAATAAACCTATATATTAAATTGTCTTACTATTTAAACTAATTAGAAAAGTTACAACTTACAATCGATGTATTCTATTTTATAATTTACTAGCTATATAGATAACCCGGCGTTGTCCGGGAAAAAAATTGCGATAATTAACTCCTTTTGGGTGTAATTCGCTGTGCATATTATGGAAGCTAAATCATATTATATTGTAATTTTTAGCCAACCCTCGTGTAGTTAGTAGTTACCGGTGAGTCTCGCTTATGGTTATATGCGAATAGTATATTGTCAGGTTGATGCGGACCTGTGGGGTGCCGCGTGGATAATGGGTGAAGGTGACCAAAAAACCAACAAAAAAAAACAACAAGAAAACGCACTAGTTTAATTCAGTTTTTTATTTGTGGTGAAATCATACAATGAATTGCGAAACGGTATCGATGGTAATGAATCGCGGAAAAAAATTCAAAAAATGCCCACGGAAAAAAAACCCATAGAAAAGAAATTACCAAGGAAAAATAGCCCATGGAAAATAAACCCACTTAAAAAAAGCCCTCCGAAAAAATTAAAATTAAAAATAAATGTTAATACATCTATATATTTAATATAATTATTATATAATATTTTTTTATTTTTAATCTAGTTTATACAATCGGTAAATAAAAAAAAAGTACAATAAGCAAAAATTCCCATTAGGTATATTTCTAATCTTTTTTTCAATAATTCTCCATTTCATCGAACACTGGTCAAATTTCATAACAATACAAATAAATTCTTTTTATTTTCGTTATGAATTATTAGTTAATGAAATCTAGATACAGTAATGTGTTTTCGGAAAAAAAAAAAATTTGCAAGACCGCAAGAGTCTTGCAGTGATGGTCTTGTCTTGTTCTTGCAAGCCTAATCTTGGTCTTGGTCTTGCAGCCAAGAGTCTTGCGAGACCGCAAGACCAAGACCAATTTTGATCGTCACTAATGCATACTTTAGAAGATCATAGTTAATAACCTAGCTAACCAAAATTGATAATTTGACTGTCAAAATGTTTAGAAAAAAAGCTTTAGCGGAATCCATAAAAAATATAGTGGTTACCATTTGAAAAAATAAAGTCGATTTTATTATTTTTACAACTGCGTGTTTAAAAATGTTGAATAGGTATGTTATAGAATAAATTGCCTGTTAAAAATAAAGAAACGATTGTCTTTTTTTGTTTTAACGAAATTCCATATCATCGATTCTTTATAGTAAAAAATTATACAATAATATAAAGTCGCATAATAATATGTAATGATACAATTATTTTGAAGTTAAAGTTGAAAGGGGGCTCACTAAGTGTATGGTGTCCCGGGGCCCAATTGATCCTTAATCCGGGCTTGATTGAGGTGATGATATCATCACTTAAGACATTTGTTAATTATTATATTTATAGTTTGAATATTATGTACTGTTTTATCACAAAATAAAATAACTATGTGATTGTATTATGATAGGTATTTGAGTGAATCAACAAAATAATATAAAACACACTTTTATTTTCGTGGGTTTTTTTAATTTTTGGGTTTTTTTTCCGTGGGTTTTTTATCCGTGGTCATTTTTTCCGCTTACCGATGGTAATAGGAGTTGAACTCGCGGGGACGTGTCGAGGTCCGTGTCCCGGTCGCTGAGAAAAACAAATGACTTCAACAATCCGGTTCGTCAAACGGCCGGCCGACGGTTCACGGCGCGGGTGTCACGCGCCGGCGCGGCGTCGTCCGTCGTCGATTGGCGGTTTGTTTGAGAAGCCACAGTGCGGCTTCCGCGTAAGGGCTGTTTGAATTCAAACTGCCATTACGCGGGACCTCGTCAAGCTAAGCGTAGCTGCGTTAGATTGCGAACACAGCTAGCTGGATGATAAAATATAGACTAAGTTTAGTGAACTTCAGTTTCGTAAGCTTTGTAGTTGAAAAAAAGTTTATACATAGACCTTATACCTACTCGGTAGATAGACAGAGTATAAGGTCTGTGTGTTTATACAATGAAGGTACCTAAAATAGAATCTATTGAAGGCATAGTTGATCAACCCGGATTTTTAGGAGTATTTAATATATATTAATATATTTTGTGTTATTTTATTTTATTTTTACGGACGAATCGGCTGAATTATATCTTTGTGAAATAATTCGCATATTTAACCTGCAACCAAATAAAACCATTAACACGTTGATGGACAAGCTATGTCATAGCATTCTATGTGATTACAAAAAAAAGTTTAAACTTCCACCTTGAATCTTAAGATCCCTGTTTAACCAGCTCTTTAAAATACGAATATCAGAAAATCCTTTCTTATTGGACATATAGATTATTAAAGGAAACATTATTTCAAATATCAAGTTCGTACGTTTTGTATTTTCAAACTAATGTTGTATATTTAAATTAGATATTACAACCCCTTATTTTCCCTTTTAAGGGTTGAATTTCCAACAATATTTTCCAAGCGGATGCCTAAGTCATAAAAGCTATCTGTATACCAAATTTCAGCCAGGACAATCAGTCCATCAATGTTTTCCATTTTTACCCCTTTTAACCCTGTAGTAAAAATTCTTAGGGGTACAAAGTACTGTTACTAAACTTATTACTTATATACTACTCACAAAATTTCATACTTATAGCTTCAGTGGTTCCGGCTATGGGTTTTTCATTTTTACCCCTTTTAACTCCTGTAGGGGTTGAATTTTGAAAAATCCTTTCTGAATGGGTGACACACAACAAAACAAAACTACTGTCAAAATGTATACTCATAACTTCAGCAGTTCCGGCTAGGCGATGATGAATCACTCAGGACAAGTAATTTTATATATATATATAGATTTGTACCTATTCCTTAATTTTATTTATTACGCATCTCTTAAAAATAGCATTGTACATTTATACTGAGTAGTAAACTATGTCCCATTTGAAACTTACATGGTTAGCAGCCCACTTTATGTAATATTTAATAAAGTTGTTTATATATATTTCTATAGACACCAAAACCTTAATTTTGACAAAATTTTGGTTACAGTGGCTTGATACATGTGTATAAACACTATAAACTATTTTAAATACCTACCCACCTACAATACAGTATAATATAATCTTTTTTTCTTAAATAATGAAATATGAAATTAAATTATAAATTTTTTTAAACTCTATTCTATATAACATATTATGTCAATATTAATTCATAGTATAATAATTGTATGCCTATCATCTAGATTTAGACATCCATTGTTATTGACATCTGTCCGTAAATCTCACAACCTTAGTAAATTCACTATTTGAATGAATGACTTAAAATAATAGTCACTTATCTACTGGTTTTGTAATGTGATGTTGGCTTGTTAAATAACAATGGTGCTAACATTAATTTTATAATGAATTATAAATATCCAATCATATACATACACTGCTACATTTTATAAATAGACAGAAAAAATAAACAAAATAATTTTAATTTTAAGTTTAATAGTATTAAAAATAATTTAGCTTTACACGAGATTTCAAAATGTATTTAACAACACAACATTGCATTTTATCGGAGCAAATGCGACTATACAACAATAACAATAAGTAGAAACAGACAAAAAATGTTTAAAATTATAAATACAAATTAAATTAAAACACATATTAGATCTGATTATATCAAATAATAGAAAAATATTATTACCATGCCAATATAATTAAGGCAATAAAAGGAATACAATTGTTAGGCAACTTAAGAACATGTAATCAATATTCATTCAATCACTGCTACTGCTACTACTACTGCTACTACTACTACTACTACTTGATGACTTTGATCCCTTCTTGTGTTTATACCCTTCGTACATAGCATAGGCACCAACACCGGCTCCAGCAACTCCAGCAACAGGAATACCATATTTCAAAGCTTTTTTGGCGGCTTTTTTGGCTTGTTTATTTTGAGCTTTTGCTGCTTTACGCTAAACAATAAGGAAAAATAATTTAATTATTTAAGACAATACAAATTACTAATAACTAATGTAAATTTCCATTTTCAATTTTCAATTTATAATTTTTGTATATTACTCTATTTTATACACAAACATATCAAATTATCCATCCTACTGTACCTACACCAAATATTGTGGGACCCATAATCTAGGTTCTAGGTCAATAATAAATTAATATACCTATATAACAAATTTAAAAGAAATAACTTAAGTTTATTTTTTATCATTTATTTATTTATTATTCAAGTGTTTTTAAGTTTTATTTGATGTTTTAATTTTGCAATCTATAAATATTTATGATTTAAGAGTATGTCTCAAAATTAAGAAAACAAACGCTACCGGCATAGACGCATAGGCACCAACGCCGGCTCCAGCAAATCCAGCAACAGGAATACCATATTTCAAAGCTTTTTTGGCTTGTTTTTTTTGAGCTTTTGCTGCTTTACGCTAAACAATAAGGAAAATTAATTTAATTAATTAACTAATTAAGACAATACAAATTACTAATAATTAATGTAAAATTCAATTTTCAATTTATTATTTTAGTGTATTACTCTATTTTATATACAAACATATAAAATTATCCATCTTACAGGGTCAGTACTTATACCAAATATTGTAAGATCCATAATCTGGGTTCTAGATCAATAATTAATAAATTACCTATATAACAAATTTAAAAGAAATAACCTAAGTTTTTTTTATAGCATAATAAGCACTGTTTCCCCATACTTAATTTAAAATGTTAAAAATAAGTTAAAAATCAAATATTTAAACTGAAATAAATGTAATTATATTTACTTTAATATTGACCTAGAAGTCTAGAACATATTATTGCTTTAAGAAAGAATAAACTTCATATAAAGTGCACCAGCACTAGTTAATAGCGCAATAGTAACTTGAACATATAATATGACAGACATAGACAACAAACCTGACAAGTAGCATGCATTACACACATTATATTTGAAATACTTCAAATTTTTTTATTATTTCATTAGTACACAAACTTACAGGGTGAATATGTCCAGTTACAGCATAATTAGTTAGCCCTTGATTGATAGCATGTTTAATTGGTGAACTTGTATGTTTCTATATTTAAAACAAATATATTTCATATGTATTAATATATTATAATTAAATAATTACTCACTTCAGGAATTATAAACAATATATTGTGATCTGTTTAATTTTACAAATTATCTAATATATTAAGTAGGTTATATTATTTTTAATTGCAATTTACCTACCTACCATTATAAGTCAAAATAATTTATCAACTATTAGTAAAAACCAAAGATACAAAACAAACAGAAAACAAATTGTTGGTGCTAAGTTCGTTATTCAATAGCAGTGGCGCAACTACAGGGGTTAAAGGAGGTTAACTTTAAGCACTAATTTTAACTACTTATAGTTTTATTAATGTAATTTTCTTATTTTTTCTTATCTTGCATTCTGATAAAAAATAATATTATTATTGTATTATAAAAATCTTAAATTAAAGTCAATTTATAATTTAATTAATTTTTAAGTAATTATAGACATACTCAGTACAATCTACAGTCCAAAACGAATATATTAGGGAAGGCCAAAATTATTATTGTTGAGTCATTTCAAAATATGTGAACAGATAAGACATTTTCAGAACTATGAGAAGTATAACATTTTGTGAAAAAATTACATATTATTGGATGTTTCCCATCCAGATTAGTTAGCTAATAGATTCTATATTTATACTATGACTATGATAGAAAACTATTTAAAAAACAATTTTTAAAGCGTCAAAACAAATAATTTAATACATTTTCATTTGGATAACACTTCCAGGCCTAGCTAATGACATTGTTCTAGACAAAATATTCAACACATTTGCTACTATCGATAAGTAAATGTTTCACACTTTAAATTTTAATATAATAAAAACAATAGAATGTGTTAAACTTTTTTTTAATAATGGTATTAAGTATGAATAATAGTATAATCTAAATATTGGTAATATACTAATATGTAATGATGGTGGGTGTGGTGGGTAGAGCCCCCCCCCCTCAAGGCTATGAATCCATAATTGTAGCAATTCCTAAGATTTAAACTCTGGTTGTGCCACTGTAATCAATAGTATTTACTGACTAAGAAATTGTTTATGTTAGTAACAAACCTGTAAATAAGGTGAATTATGAGTTTGGCCAGGATAGGCACTATAACCTGAAGCATAAGGAGGAACAGTTCCAGGTGGAGCTCCAGGCATATGCATATGACCTGCTGATGACATATGTCCAGGTGCATAGCTTCCAGACATAGGCATCTGTCCAGGCATAGGCATCTGTCCAGGCATAGGCATCTGTCCAGGCATAGGCATTTGTCCAGGCATAGGCATTTGTCCAGACATAGGCATCTGTCCGGGCATAGGCATCTGTCCGGGTATGGGCATATACCCAGGAGGATTACCAGGCATCGACATTGTAGGACCACCAAACTGTGTACTTCCGACTGAATTTATTTGTATACTATGTAATTGTGCTTCTCCATCAATAGCTAAATAAAACACACTTTGAAATGGTATTCTGTGTTTCATTTCTGCGTAATGAGATCCATTAAATGCAATCTAGTATATGAAATAGTAGTTTAGAACAATGTAGTTCTACACACTCAAACATTATAATCTAACTATTTATTCAAACTCACTTTATATTCATAAGCATCACACAGTATGTCCAATTTAAATGGCTGACCTCGAATTAGGGCCACAGGTGGACCGTGAGATTCCTCCACTCCCCAATTTTGTGCTTGAATACTATTCCTGACAATCAAGTTACGGTTGAAGTCTAAAGCAACAAACAGGGCAACAGAGTCTCGAGGAGCAACATTCGGACCAATTTGTAAATTTATACAGATCCTATACAAAAACAATGATTAAAGTAAAAAAATTGTGCAAATATTAATTTGGCTTTGATCATATCACAATATTATAATTTATTGTAATATTGAATATTAGTAATCACCTGTTTGAAGACGGGAACGACGTGCCATGGAAGCTGAGCAGCGTGCCTTGTTTCAAACCATTTTGTATCGGTCCAACAAACGGAAGAGTCTAAAAAACATTATACCAAAAGTGTTAGTAAGTTAGGTACTTACTGTTAATAACAATTAACGGGTCAATTAAATTATAGTCGAATACTGTACACTCCTCCCTTATTATTATTTTACAGTAGATACTACCTATAATTGTCTACAATATTGTTTGCAGTAATTAGAAACAATATCAAATACCAATACAATTATACGATAATAAGTATAATATGGACACTTACCGGATTGAGGATTGGAGCTTGAGCCATGACGATATCGAAGGGGAATGAACGAAACGACGTGAACAGAGAACGCAATCAAATGCGAATACTAAAATGATTTGAGTTTGGAGGCGATCTAGAACTTTGGTGGCGAGAAGGACTGCAGCAGTGAGTCGTCAGAAAAGAATCATTCGTCTTATATATCACATACACAAGGAGAATAATCGAGCATAGATATGGACTGTGGTGTATATTGGATAAAAAATATTGTGGGAATGTGGTGACTAAGAAACTAGTAGTCATATATTAGATAATATATAAATAATGTTTGGGTAGTACCTACCTATATAAATAGTGACTCATCGTTCGTCGCCAAATGTAGCGAATTGTGATGATAAAAGATTATTCTTTACTATCAGAGATGAACAACACGAAGTGAGGTCGGTCCACGTTGACGTCACGAACGCTGAATTGACGTCACTAAGTATGTACTTGTAAGAGCAACTACAGGCGAACCGGTTTCACGGTATAAATATAATGGTGTTGAACATTCTCAGCAATGGTTGTTCAAATGTCACTGAGAAAGTTATGCTTACAAGTTATAAATCATGGTCAAGGTCTAATCTAAATAGATCCACATTGGTCAATATACTTTAAGTAGGTACTTTACAATTTATAACATTGGCGTAAGTGTGGAGGTAACGAAGGCCACTTCCCCTATACGCGGATATTTCATAAAGGGGGCAAAAGTATCATTATGCAGCACCAACCCATCAGAGTCCTTTGATGTGTCACTGAACAAATCTTAGAATCTGCTAGAAATAAGCTAAAGTATTTAAAGAAAATTTGAATTTGCATTCGGTTAAGGACGGACGTCCAGACGGAGCAGCTTTTGCAGCGTGGAATGAGTGTGACGTCACAAATTCGTTTTCTGCGGCTTTTCCGCGGGAAAATTTCCAATCGGCAGTGGGCGGTACATCGAAGAAAAGCCGCGAGGCCTCCGCCGCGTCTGCGTAGACCATTGAACTATATAATAACTATATATATATATTATATAGTTCAATGGCGTAGACGTATTTTCTGCAAAACTACAATCAGTAATTGTTTTTATACATTTTTTAATATTTTAATTATTTTTCAACTAAATTCTATAATCGAAAAACAAAATATGCCGCGACTTCTGGACACGGGACCGACGAAAACCCCTCTACGTCTGAACCACGATTTAAGATATCTTAAATTAAATTATATTCTGGTCTGAACGCACCTTTAAGAGCAGTGTTGCCGTTTTCAGGACTATAAAATAAGTTTTAGTGGTAGACAAAATAAAGTTTAAAATTGCTAAATTATTAATTTTTTTTAATATAAGCTATATATAAGGGCATAAGGCCAAAACATTTTAACAAAAAATTAAATGTATTTAACGCATATTAAATCATAAAATATATACAATAATACAATTTGTGATTTGAATTTTAAATGCATACAAAAACAATTAAAATAAATATTATGGCAAAAATAATAATAATAATAATTCAAAGATTCAGTATAAAGAATATATTAATATGTCAGTCTTTCATATAATATTATATGATTATAGAAGACTAGATGAATACATTTTTAAAAAAAACGAAACAAACATTTAAAACAACAAAATAAGAATCTTTCATAGTTTCATCAATAAATATTATATACATATTAACTATTAAGCAATACTAGTTTAATACTCTTAAGGGGGCTGCAGCCGGTACCAATAATCACGTAAAACAGGCCAAAAGCTAGACAAAACTGTAGGACTTGGGTTGGACGGATTTTAATTTTGAAAACTAATTGAAAATCTTTAACAACTCTACTAAAGCATGGTCGTGAAAATTTATCATTATAACAAAAATTAATGCCGTACTTAAATATATAAAATACCAAAATTTTTATTTTGTAAATTGTTGATATCTTATCGAATAATTTGAATATATAAAATCCCCTCGATCATTCCCTAACTAACACAATGACTAATTAATATATTTTTTCTAAATTAAAATCTGTCGTACCCAAGTCCCACAGTTTTGTCTAGCTTTTTGGCATTTTTGTCATTTGAATAGCATGAGTATATTTGATAAAATCTGTATAGTTGACATGTGCCTGCGCGTGCGAAAATTCACGGCGGCGGTCCTAATTGAAAATAAACTGCCAACATTCGATTCCTGGAATATAATATTACAAGATAAGAAAACGATTGCCGGCGGTGTGCTTAATTCTAATAAATATTATATTATTGTAATAATAATAAATATATATCTCCCTGCGTACTTGTTTTGGTCCCCTGCCGGTACGTAATATTATTAAACGGCAAGCACAAATCATATTCTTATTTTGATTTTCGATTAGTCTGGTTAGGTAATAGTATAATGTGCAGTATCTAAAGAGAAAATTTTTATATAAAGTATTTACATATTTTTCATTTTTGGTGCTATGGACAGTAAAAGTGACTGGCATTATGGAAAAGTAATTGTGAGTGGAATTTAAAGTTTACTTTATTTTATAATATTCCAAACATAACAGTATATTGTATAAGTAATTCAAATACTAAATAATAATAATAATTAGGTATGTTGAAAAAAACCACGGTGGGTATTGCTTTGGGGGCCGACGTCGACTCATAGTCGAACGACGTAATTACGGAACCGATTTTTAGCGGATTCTCGGGCAATGCGCGCCAAATACTAGGGGCACTCAACGTGTTAATGGCACTGAACTAAATACATGGAACGCGTATTGTGTATAATTCTCTATATGAAAAATGAGCCGATACGTGCGCCGCCATATGCATTCCGTTTGATTTTTCACATTGATTGTAACCAACTTCAACTAGTGATAAAAACAATAATCTTTTTTCGGAGATAACATAATTAGTATAAAATCATAATAAATAATAATTATATTCATATTAAGCATGTTTTAATTTTTAATTATCATTTTAACTACTCAGTACTCACTTAAGTGTTCTTAATTTAATCCTAGTTAATAGGTATTTACATAACGCAATTGCCATTTTACAGTACATAACTATTTTTTTACACATTTTGAAAAATTGCTAACCTTGACAGTACTTTCCTTTTATTTTTACCTATCATATCTTTATTTATTCTTTTAGTTTCATGAAATGTTCTTATTCTAATATAACATAGTGAGATCGTTTTTATTAATTGTATTGTGTGGTTGAATTCTGAATCGAAATTATGATTATTCAGTGATGGGAATAATCGATGGGTCACAAGTTGTCCAAACACAGATGCAGCCAAGTTTTGAGCAAAATCAAATTCGTTCATTTCAGCGATATCATGTATGGCTCTTTTATAAAGCAGTTCTGTCCTACGACAAACTGTAATGACATCTGGTGCAGGAATGATAAGTCCACCTCGAGGAGATATAAGTAACTTAAGTAGTACTCTCTATTTAAATATAACAATAATATTCAACTGATAATAACTTATTAAATAATAGAATACAGTTTATATATATTTATTCTAGCCTAGATGTTAGATATTCATAATACTATTATAAATTAAAAGCAATTATCGTAGTAATATCAAGAGTGATATCAACATGTACGTTTCGCATGATAAAACTTAAATTAAAGCGGTAAAACATGAATATATATAATATATGATAAACAATTTTCATGGATATTTCATTATCTCTGCCATGACTCGGAATGCATATGGCGACTTTCTATCCGGCTCATATTTTCATTAATACACGCGTTCCATGTATTTAGTTCAGTGATGCGGGTTGTGTAAATGGGTGCGTAGTAAGTAGTGATCATTAGGGTGAGTGATTGTGTATAAAATAAATAGCAGATCGCACCCGTACATGTCAGTAATGCAGTATTTTACACATTCATTACAAAATAATTTGTGAATTTATAATTATCATGAATAGTATTGGAAAATTCTATGAAAATGTATTTTTGTAATTCCAATAATATGGTTTATTGAGCGGTTTGAGAGCAAATACACCTATTATCAATACTGTAGAAAAGAAGTTAATCTATGCCTGTCTGAAAGTCAATTTTCGATTCTTTTATTACTAAGCCCAATAATTCAAATCCAAAAAGTATATCACACATTTTAGACCTAAATATTGGACCTTGATAATAAAAAAGTCGAAAATCGACTCCAATACAAGCCTAGATAAACTCCTTCTCTTCAATTTGTATAATAGGTGTTCATACTATAATGCCACTCAGTAAGCTATGTTATTTTAAATACGAAACTAAGTTTCAGTGTTTCACTAAAATTTACATATTTTGTAATGTGTGTAAAATGCTGCGTTACTGACATGTGCGGGTGCGATCCGCTATTTATTTTATACACAATCACTCACACACTAATGATCACTTACTACGCACACATTTACACAAATAGTAAATTGCCTATAACGATTGGTATTTATACCCCTTAATTTAAATAAAATGAAATTACTACAACGTTACTGGCTATTGCAATAGTAATTTCGTTACAATAATTTGTAATTTTCGTTACGTTACTACCCAACACTGCGACAAACAACTAAATTCATGATCAGAACAATAGATCATGAAATAACAAAAAGATATAAATTATAAAATATCTACCTTACGAGTTATGAATAATTATATGAATGGCAATTTGTTAAAATGGACAGAGTCACATTTTTGACACAGATAATTTTGTTGTATATTATTCATCCTCTTACGTAAAGACATTGTTTTGTGTTAAAAAGTACCTATTTCGTATCATCTTGTCTGTGCAAAATTATTATGAAATATTTCTTAATTTGTTAAAAGGTGCCTATGTATTGTTGGCCAATAGAAATAAAGGAAAACTGTCTTTTGTTTCTCCTGAAAAGTATTTGAAAATGTACATGCGTCCCTTTCAACAAATTGCCATTCATATGATTTCACCCCCCATAGGACCACCTGACCCAAGACCTACAAACATAGGTATTTATTGGCGTTTAATTGTGCTACTATAACATCATAATATGATGCAATATTATGCTACTTCAAC